CGTCAGGCAGCGGGCTGCAGCAGGTAAATGGACATGTCAGGCTGCAAGCCACGGGTTTGTACAGGTGCCAGGGTGACAGCCGAGCCCCTGAACAGGAGCTGGGTTGCCTGTCGTACACGCACATATGTTAGGGTACGGCACACGGTGCAAGTCATGTTGTGTGATGGCCAGCTCATGAAAACCCAGTCGCCTGCCTTTGTTCATGCTGGGCACAAAGCCACCCCTGAGCCTTGCTTTCAGTTACTCACGGCCCGCCCCCACCCTTGCCATGTCCCTCTTTCCTCCGTTCTGCCCTGCCCATCGAGCCCAACACGGAGATGGGTGCCGCCGCCGCTGAGGTGGACACTGCCATGGCTGCCGAAGGCGCCAAAGCAGGGGAACAGGATGGGCGGCCGGGGGCAATGCAGCTGCTGCAGCTAGGGATGGCGCCGGCATCAGGCAGCGGGCTGCAGCAGGTAAATGGACATGTCAGGCTGCAAGCCACGGGTTTGTACAGGTGCCAGGGTGACAGCCGAGCCCCTGAACAGGAGCTGGGTTGCCTGTCGTACACACACATATGTTAGGGTACGGCACATGGTGCAAGTCATGTTGCATGATGGCCAGCTCACGAAACCATATTATTTTCATCCATATAATTCATCCATATGCAGTTTCCTAAAATCTCAGGTCCGGAAAGTGTCCAGGGTTCATCAAGGACCGAATTTCTTCAGCATTCCAACCTAAGCTTGGATGAGGAGCGTGCTATTCGTATAGCCAAACAAAAGGAAATCCTTGCAAAGCTAGGACTTCAAGCCATTGTTGACAATATCCGGTCGCCTCGCTCGCCTATCAGACGACAGAGTACCCACTCAGCTCCATTGGAGACTCGCAGATCCACTAGGCTTACTGTCTTATCATCAAAGCTTAGCAAGCAACAAGTGAAGGTATGTGGTGTCCCAACGGGTGGTTAAAGATACCTAGGCGGCGGACCCTACTTTAGGGTTCTCATTTCCTTCCTCTGTGAAAGATCTCAGTTCATAAATATTTACAATGTTTATTGTCATATTGGGTTTAACAATATTCTCTGCTGCAGATGCCGACCCATGCTGCAGAAGCGGCTGTCGTCGAGGACACTGCTGCAGTGGTGGTGAATCACGATCCTGAGATGCATCTTAAAATTTTCTCAGACCAACACAAAACTTC